TTCTGATGAGAACAGTGTAAGCGTTCAAGCAAACCACTTCTGAAGATGCAAGCCACTCGTGCTTGCGAAACGTCAGGAAGGAATTCCATTTTACGACGGCCTAAAAACCCATTAGCTTCAAGGAATGGCCTCGAAAGTCTTTTTTTTTGACACTCAACTCTGGTTTGGTTTGATGGGGCACCAGCTGGAGAAGTTAGGAAAGTTTCGAACAACAAACTGCACTATCGTGTGTATCAAACTGCACTACGAAGAAGCTGTGCACAGTACCACCTAAGTGATTTAAACGCGCCTGCTTGCAGCGACTATTTGATGTCCTTTTTTGCTCTTTGCTGGTTCATTTTTGAACTCGATGTATATTTTTCGACCAAATGAGCGCCCGACCGCTTTCGATCAGGAACACAACACGATTCGCAGTTTCTCCATTAATTCTGCCAAGTGGGCTACGCACCAGGAAGACTGTGTTTTATTAATCAGCTTCAGTTTCCCTGAAGTTAAAAGCCGAATAATTCATCGCCTGATGAGCAGGGCGTGAGACGCTCCATTAAAATGTTCAGTGGGAGCTTTTCAAGCAAAGAACGGCATTTGCGAAAAATAGACACCTTAAACCATTGGAAATTGGAGTTTTTTGGCCTTTAACCCGTCGTAGAAAACGATTTTTTAGATTAGAACACGATTTGCTTGCAATTTCAATTGCTCATTGTTGCATGGGGCGACAGGAGTTCGGAGCGAACTAAATTTTCCCTCCAGTTTGGCTCCAATCCTGTATAGCATGTAAGTTTTCAGAATTTAAAGCTACATTCTGGATGGTTTAAGCGGGTCGACGACATCACAACATGCCGCTATACATAAAGCTTCATAATTTAAATCCGGGGCGTCGCTTCGCTGGATGACGGCAAGCTTTGTCTGGATTTAGATAAATCTCGTTCTTCCCAGTTATGGAAAACATCCGCGATAAACTGATAAAGCGTCGAATATTCATCATTTTTTCGGAATTAAGAGCACAGAATGGATATATTTTTCCGCCATCAAGTCGCAAGGCTGGTAGCTGAGTTAATGGGGGGAACACAAAATTAAGGCTTGTTGAATCGTCGAACCAAAGCTGAGTTAATGAAGACTAAGATTCAATTGTGGCGCAATCGAGAGTATTTGAAACTACCAAACTTTAAAGTGTTCCGTGTGAAGTTCAGATAAACTTGTGCATTGCGGGAAAAGCTCAAAAAACCCTCACAACTCACACAATTCACAAACAACAAACAAAACAAAAAGAATCGATTGGCGTCTA